ATATTATTCCCATTTTACAAGTGAGGAAACTGAGGCAGGCAGAGGTTAAATGACTTGCTTGGGGGTCACATAACCATTATATATTTGAGAATGGATTTAAACCCAGGTCTTCCTGATTCCTAATCTAGTGCACTCTCTACTGTAAAACCCAGCGACCTCACTTTAAAACATCCCATGCACAGTCTTACAGATCTTATGCTCTATAGAGTGGGTGAGGGAAGGTGGAGAGAAAGGAGAAGGATTTACCTCTTATAGAAATCACATTGCTGATTCCTTCCAGAGGATATGATATGCATATTCATGCAATGTTTACATTTCCATGGGTTAAAGTGGATGGATGTATAATTTTTAAAAAATTATCTTTTCTTGGGAAACCTGTTTTTTTTTTTTGCTTTCATTACATTTAAGAAAGGTGTATTAATGACATATAACAATATACTATGAGTTTTTTGAGAGCAGGGATTTTCATTTTTTGTGTTTGAAAACCCAGCACTCTAGCATTGAACTGACATATAGCAAGTGCTTAACAGATACTGATAGATTATATGTAAGATGCCTTCAAATGTAAGTCTAGTAAATTTAGGCTTAAGTGAATATGTAGAAATTATCAGGGGCATCACATATTTTTTGGATGGAGAATTACTGCTGCTATAATAGTAATGTTATGGAGCCAGTCTGGCAGAGTGGATGGAGCACTAGTCCAGTGAATGGAGCATTGGCCTCTAAGTCGGGAAAACCCACTTCTGGCACTTACTATCTGTGTAACCTTAAGCAAATATACTATCCATGCTTCATTTTTACAAGTTGTAAAATGAAGTGGTTAGATGTGATGGTCCCTAGGGTGCCATCCAGCATTTCTAATTTCTAATCCTGTGATTCTATGAGGGTGACAATGCCTTATGCCAAGTGACTGTCCTGGGTTGTAAATGATGTGTTGGGGGATGAGAGACACCTTCGGGTACTTCTAAAATCAGTCCTTGTGAGGAGCACGCACTTAGCCTGATGAATACAGCTGACCCTTATAGCAGTCTATAACAATCAAAGCAAGGTACTTTCAGCATACTAATCCAGTTTCCTTTTCCTTATACTCTTTCTTCATTTTAGGCTAGATGTCCTAGTTAAAATATAAGCTCTCTGAAGGCAGGAACCAGCTTTTTTCCCCACTTAGAATCTTCATTGTATATCAGAAAAACAGAGTGACAATGCTTTGTTAGCCTGAATACTAACTCATGGCTGAATTGTAAGAATGGACTTTTTCTAATACTCCTGGAGCCTTTTGGCAGTCTACTGAGCTAATGAAACTGTTCTGGGCATAGGGAGGATACATGACTGATTGATTATTTTCTATCATTAGGGACAAATATCTCCTCTCCTTCCCATCTCTCCTCCTCCATGTGATTTGTCAGAATAAGTGGTTATTATATTCCCAAACATGTTGTCTGAATTGACTTTTAACTTTACAGGCCAGGTTCACTGTGAATAAATCAAGCTTAGCCCACAATGAAAACAATGCATTTACAATTATACTATAGCTTCTCTAAGGTGATTCTAAGCACATTGTTCCCTTTATTAAGGGGCTTATAGTTTATGTGATTTGCATTGTTAACTTTTTTTTTTAACTTTTAGGCAATTGGGGTTAAGTGACTTGCCCAGGGTCACACAGCTAGTGTTAACTTTTTTTTTTTTAAAGCAATAGTATTTATATTTAAGATGTGAACAAATTGCCAAGTTATTAAATTTTATCTTGTTGGGCGCTTCATCCTTGGGCAAGTCATTGAGAGGCAAGTATTTGGGGCCATGCCAGCTTTGGGTACAGGTACAAGCCAGCAAGGAAGAAGTAAAAGAAAGTAAATAAAATTTCAGGGACTCTCACCTTAACCAAAGTGTGTGGGAAATCATAGGATCATGGACTGAGATCTGGAACTGAGACTGAAGGTATCTATCTTCATGAAAATGATGGGCTTGGACTGGATGGGCTTCATGTAAGTTTTGTACTGTGCATTTCTAAATGAAGTCATGGGGACTAGAGCGGCAAGGGGCCAATGGTCTGGATTTTGGGAGTGCTGGCCCATTCAGATTTGTTCCAAACACTTTCCCACATATTCACCAGCAGCCAAATGAGTGGCTAACAGTTGCAAAGTCTGTGAACTTTCATTTTCAGTTGGGGAAACTGAGGCCTGAGGAGGTCAGGTGCCAAGGTGAGCTTATGGTAAATACCAGAGGTAGGACTTGAAGCCAGGTCATCTGACTCCTGAAACTTTGATCTTTTCATAATACTGTCTTCTGCATGACTCTGCTGCCCAGTCTGCCTACAGGTGGATCACCACCCAGGCCTTCCCAGCTGCTACCACAAAACATATGTAAACAATCTCTGAATAGGATTTATGGATTTGGGACATTTGGCCTTGAATTAGAATGATGATTTCCCCTCTTAATGCATGACCTCAGGTTTTTAACAGAGAGTGTAGGTGTTGGGCTTGACTGAGGGAGAAAGAGCTGGAGTTTGGAGAGAGCTCACAGCTGCAGGCAATCAAACTGAGGATTCCAGAAAGTGGGGGCAGCCTTGAATTAGAAGGGCAGGAGAGGGGGCTGGAGTAGTGTGCAGAGTGAAACCTGGCACTGACTCTGTGGGAATTAATCAGAACTCTACAAATTGGGTTTCTAGGGAATGAACTGAGTGATTTCTGAACCCCTCCTAGATTTGCTCAGAATTCCTATCTTCTCTGGCAGCTTATCTGATGTGTGAAGGCGGAGGGTGGTAAATATCAACTAAATACATAATGACATAGCTGTGCAAAGGCATTTGAAAGGAAAAAGAACACATGTGCAGTCAATTCTTAATTACCTGCTGTAGCTATGGCCAATTTTTCATAGTTCTCTAGGGCTGTAATCCCTTTGGGAAATTTGGGGGACATTGCACAATTTAGGGATTCCCAGGACTCTGCTAGAAACTGCTTTTGCCTCCCCTCCCAGTTACTGACATATTTATATTTTCTATGACTGTTTCCAGGGCTCCATTAGGACAAATGTCTTATATATGGCCCTATCTCCTTTATATAACTATCAAATTTCTTTTTATATGTACAAAGAACCTCTGTATATTCATTGTGAGATTAATGACAGCACTCTCAGATAATGCAAAAAAATAGAACAGATATGAATAAAGCCATAAAATCAGAAGAAATTGCATTTTGATAATGATAGTAATATTTTTATGATTAATTTAAGTAATTATTTTAACAAAATCATATAGCAATTTATTAGATCTATGCCTCCTTCATGAATAGAGTCCTAGGATCATGGATTTGATTTGTGTTTGTATTTGAGTTAGACAAGATCTTAAGGGTCATGTAATCTAGTCCCTTCAAAGGCTGTCCTTCATGCCTGAAAGCAAAGCTCACATGCCGTCTCTTAAGTGAAGCCTACTGATCTCCAGACTGTTAGTAATCTTCTCCCCTCCATACCACCGTTCCCAAGCTACTTTGTGCTTACTCTTTACTTTGGAAATTTCTGTGGATATGTTGCTTCCAATAGGATGTAAAGTCTTTGATGATAAGGACTCCCTTCCTTCCTTCCTTCCTTCCTTCCTTCCTTCCTTCCTTCCTTCCTTCCTTCCTTCCTTCCTTCCTTCGCACCTAATACAGCTTCTAGAACATAATACATGCTTATGCTGAATTGAGTTCAGTGAAGTTTTGCTTTCCACTCTGATCTTTCACTCTTCTGTGTTCAATCAATCTACACATTTATTAAGAATCAATTATGTGACTGGCACTGAGGTTACAAAGACAAAAATTGAAATAATTTCTGCTTTCAAGGATCTTATATACTAGTGGGAGAGACAATGTGGACATATATACAAAGTGTGAATACAACCTTAGAAGAGAATGCACTAACATGATGGGAGGAGCAACATTTGTTTCATGGAGGCTGGATTAATTTCTTCTTAAAGGGGCAGGAAACAATCCTGGAGACTTGATTGTTCCAGGGGACTGGGGCTCAAGCCATTGACCTGGTTTCCTGGTCACCTGGGATATAAGAGGCCTAGCTTATGTGGAGATGTTCCACCTAGGGCTTGATGGAATCTCCACTGCTGCGTGTGTGAATCCATCTTTATGACCAGGTACAAATATGGAGACAGAGGGGAGATTCATCCACTGGATTAGTACTGTATCCTTATTGAATCACTTTTTTATTTTAATCATTAAGTAAACTTCACTTTATTGTATGTTATATGTCCTTGAGTGTTTCATTGTGTTCTATTCTTGAGCCCGACCCATTGGACTGACCAGAATTAGGTTTGAGCTAGTAAAAGCATATAATTTTGAATTTCTTTTATAGCATTTATCATCTTCTGCCTTTTACTAGGTTGTAAGTCCCTTGAAGGAAAGGCATGAATCTTGTTCATCATTTTGTATACCACAATTAGCATGGTTCTCTGTGCATAACTAGTTCTAAAAAATATTTGTTGAGATGAATTTCACGTCAATTTCTCCTACCATGCTCTTAGGCTACCCACTCTCCCTTTTTTGGTCCTTGATCTATGATTTCATTAGTGTAGACAGCTCTAAGTGTGAAATCTCTCTACAATTGCAGATCAGCACGTCTATAAATTATAGTCTTTCCTGGACCACTGAGAGCTTAAGTGACTTGCCCTCTATCTTAGACTATGTTTATTGGATGTAACTGATATTAATGACAATGTCTACTGAAGGTTGCAAATGCTTTCACTTTCATTGTCTCAGTTGATTAATGCTTTAGTAAAACATAGCTAAAAAGGAAAATATGGTATAAAAATCTGATTTTCCATAAGCAGACAAATGACTTGTTTAATGTGTCTGATAATACATGTCAATGTTCACTGCCATTAAGGTGGATAATTGAGAGTAGGTGTTTCCTTAATTGTAATTCCTATCACAACTTTAAGGGAGGAGTGTGTCAGAAACTTTATTCAAATTTTGAGCCGCTGGTCTATGCTAATTTCTTGTTCTTCCTGTCTGTAGGAGCTTAGGGACTAAGTGAAGACACAAGTTTCCTGAACTTTCTAATACTTTGAAGAGCAAAGTTTCCATTTCAAGAATCACCTACTTCTTAAGCAGCCACAGAAGAAAGAAGTGAGAAAAACAAAGGCATGGCTTATATTCCCCATTCCTAATTGCCTATTGTGTGATATACATGCTTTTTAAAACAGTAATTTACAGGGGCAGCCAGGTGGGGCTGTGGATAGAGCAGTGGATAGAACACTGGCCCTGATGTCAGGAGGACTTGAGTTCAAATCCAGCCTCAGACCAAACACTTGATACTTACTAGCTGTGTGACCCTGGGCAAGTCACTTAACCCCAATTGCCTAAAAATTAAAAAAAATAAAACAGTAATTTACAGAAGCAAAAATCTGATAATTATAGCCCCTGGAGGTTTTCTAAGTATTGTTCTATTCTGGGAAGAAACTTTCAATGGGAATGCTTTCCTTGACCCTGCCATTTTCCCAGATCAATGGTGCAATTAGGATACATTATAAAGAATTTGGAACAATTCAAGAGCAGTAGGCTGACCACAGTGATGAGTTTAAAAAAAATCTGACTCAACTCTCCTGCTTCTGTAGCTCCCTATTGCCTCTAGGGTAAAGTAATAAAATTTGATAGCTCTAGCATTGAAAACCCTCCAAAATCGAATTCCAATCTACCTTTCCAGTCTTATTTCCTGTTATATCCCATCTTACATTCTACATTATAGCTAACTCAGACAACTAGCTGCAGTATGCTATCACCTGCTTCTAGACATTCGCACAGGTGACTCATTTGTTGGTGGGATGGCCTCCTTCCTTATTTCAATAATATGGAACCCTTTTCTTCCTTCAAGGTTCAGCTCAGGTGCTCGCCTTTTTGAATTCCATCCCTAATGCTCGAAGTTTAAAGTGATCTCTTCCTCTTCAAATTTTCTAATATCTTTTGATTGGATCTTTCTTTCATCCTCAATTCAATATTCCCCAAGTTGAATTTAGAGTACTTCAGGATTGTGATTTTTAATTTTAATGTTCTCATTACTTGGTACATTGTCCTGCATGTAGCAAGTACTAAATACATATTTGTTGAGTTGCCACTTACTGCCTGTGTGACCTTGGGCAAGCCTCTTAACCTTACTTAACTTCTCTGGGCCTCAGTTTCCTCATTGGGAAAAATGAGGGTGTTAAACTAGATGTCTTCTCATTCTAGATCTTTGATCCTTTGAATTGAGGTAGTTTAGGAGGTGAGATTATGAACTGTAAATTTCTCTTCATAGGATCCAGTAATTTAAGCTAATTTGATTAACCAACTAATATGTGACATAAAAGTGGGATTCTTTTTATGGTTTGGATAATTTGTATTTAAATGATGCTTAATTAGTCTGCTGGAGTTAGAAAGTTCTGCAGTATAACTGACTTATTAAGAGTGATATAGACAGATTTTAAAAACTCATCATTATTGTCAGCCCACTGTTCTTTCACTCTTTCATCTTCTTTATATTGTGCCCTAATAGCACCATTGATCTGGGGAAATGGCAGGGTCAGGGAAAGCATTCTCACTGAAAGTTTCTTCCTAGAGTAGAGCTACATTTGGAAAATCTCCAGGGGCTGTAATTAAATTTTTTTTGCTTCTATAAGGGAATCAGGAATATTAGACATACCTTTATTTTTCTCACTTCTTTCATCTGTGACTGTCCAAGAAGTAGGTAACTTTCATGATTCTTAAAATCAAGTACTCTTTCCTCTAGAGAGGTAGTAATTTTGCTCTAGCAACAAATATTTTTTAGAAAGATCATCACCAAGGTTAAATGAGAGAAAATAGGGAAACACTTCAGCTCCCTGGATCAAAACACTGGATCACTGGGGAGTTTGAAGTAGAAGGAACTTGAAACTAGGATGAAGTACGTCCCATCCAAGAATGGGAAATGCCTTGGTATTGGATGTTGAAAGTTCTCTGCTTTGGTGTGAGAATGCCACCTATGGATAAGTTTGTACAGACAGTTCTGTTTAAAAAATGAATATACTATTAAAGGCCACAGACATGTTTCCTCATGCTTAATGGTTTGGTCATCAATGATTGCAAAATTAATAGTTTTACTATTCAAAGCTAGTATGAAGAGGAGCCATTAGGTTGTTGAGAAGTAAGTCAGGTAGACCATGTAAGTGACTTCTAGCTATGATGGAGAGGCTCATTTTGAGCAAAAGCATGATGTGGGACAAAGAACCTGAGTTTCCAACAATGCCAGGTCTAGAAAACTGGAGGAGAGATTAATGTACATAATTCTGAATTTAAAATGTGTGTTGCAGACACTCAGATCTAAGTTTCTTTCTGTGGATGAGAGGAGATGAAGAAATATCTTTCACCAAACTGAGGGCAAAGAGGGATGCAATGGTTTAGGGAATAAAGCCTCCGAATGATTTAGGCCCTGTGTGAAAGTGACCATAGGACAGTCATTGATTGAAAAAACCACACTGAGCCATAGGCTGGCTCCAGAAAGAACATTTGTTTACATGCTATTGTAACAAACATCTCCCCATGGTGACACCCTCTGAGTTGTCAGTACCTACGTCTCTTTAGAGCATATAAAATTTTAATTTGATTAGCATTAACTTAATTGGAGCCTTTCAAACATTTGAAACATGAGATGGGTTGGAGATCACGTGTTGGTGCTAAACATGGTATATCATGTGAATTATGACCCCTCTTCCTCCACTCCCCCACCTCTGGCTTTGCTTCTGCAAAATAAACAGTTGTCTCTGTATTTGTGTGTCCCATATATTTGTTGATGAGGGATCATAGGATCACAGCTTTAGAGCTGGAGGAGACCTTAGTCTAACCCCCTTATTTGGAAGGAGGAAAACTGAAACCCAGAGATAAGTGACCAACTAAGATTGCACAGGTCACAAATGGCATAGCCATTATCCAAACCCAGGTCCTCTGACATGAAACTTGGGACTCTTTCCACTATACTATTCTGTCTAAAAAGTATAAGTTCCTGGACAGTAGTAGTCATTTCTATTTAGCTGATTTTGTATAAAGTGCAACAAGATAGAGATGGCTCCTTACTACATATAAAGTCTGGTCAATCAATCACTCAACATGCATTCTTTAAAGCTTACTGTGTGCTAGAGACTGAAGACAAAAGTGCAACAGTCCTTTCCCTCAAGGAACTTATATTCTGAAGGGGAAGACAACATGTACATATAGAGGCACATATAAGACACATACAGATCAAATATAAGATAACCTTAGAGGAGAAGAGACTAACTGCTGATGACTTACACTCTGCAGACAGGAAAAGCCTTCCACAGTGTGTGGTGATTGTGGTAATTAAAAGATATGGGGGCTCCAGGAGGCAGAGGTGTGAAGGAAAACCATTCCAAGTAGAGAGACAGTCAGTACAGAGGCTAGAGTTTGGAGATGGAGAATCACAAGGAACAGCAAGCAGAACAGGATGGATGGATTAGACAGAGTGTGGACAAGAGGAATCTCTAGGTAGGGTAGAAATGTAGGAAGAAACTAAGTTGTAAAGAATGATCACCAAATAGAGGAGTTTACATTTGATGGAAGAGGTAATAGGGAGACACAGGACTTTAATGAGTCAAGGGTCAACATGACTAGACTTAGGAAATCACTTTGGTAGGTTTGTGCAGCACTCTTTTACAAAGTTTTTAATAAACTAGAGACCTCTAGATTATAAGAAAATTTTGGCTTGCTAGATTTTTTTCCTCTTGCATTCTTTTAGATAGAAGATATATATATATATATATATATATATATATATATATATATATATGTATGTGTGTGTGTTTTTGTGTATATATACATATGTATATGTATATACACATACACACATACACATATGCACACACACACACACATATATATAATATACATACATATTCACACTTATATACATACACATAGACCCATAGTTGATGTGTGTGGGTGTATGTATGGAAAATCTTAGTGCAATTTAAAGCTTTAAAGCTCAGTAAGACTTTTGGGACACCCCATAGGATAATGAAATGACCAAATACCTAGGAATTATTATTACTTTAAAAAATTTTATTTTCAGTTTGTGGAATAAAACAAGCATTTCCTTAAGACAGTATAAAATGATTACACATGAAACTGCAACTCTATTATGTACAACTTTTAAATATATGATAGTCATGTAAATTTCCTTTTTTTCTCTCCCCTCACTACAGATGGCTACCATTAGATACAAATGTTTGTTTGTGTGTGTGTGTGTGTGTGTATACATACTTTTATTTATCAGATCTTTCTCTGGATGCAGATAGTATTCCTTCATATGTCCTTTGTGGTTAATTTGGGTATTTATAATAGTAAAAATGACTTATTTACCCCAAATTCTTAAAACAATATTGCTGTTACTACATACAGTGTTCTCTTGAAGCATCTTCCAGATTATGTCCAAGATACAGTCCTAATTCAGCCTCATATTCTAAAACTTTAATTTATGTACAACACTCTACACTAAGAAATGATGCTCACCGTAAGAGTCTTCTAGTATTGCAAGGACATCAATTGTCAATATTCAGTTGTGTTCTCTAGACTGTACTTAATACATTTTAGAATGAATTTCAGCAGGTGCTGAATTTTTTTTCAAAAGGGTTTTCTGGTTAACCTGAAGATAACCAGATAATTAAATTGAATAGAACACTCTATTTCTCAATTATTATTCTGAACCAAAGTTTACTTTATTATGACATAGAAACCAAAGCAATCAGTTTATCCACTGTGGAAAAGCAGTCATAGAATCATAGACTTTTAGAATTGGAAGGAATCTAAAAGGTCATTTATTCCAACCTGGTCAAGAATCTGATCAATAAGATTCCAAACAAGTAGACACCAGTGATTATGATTGAGAAATTACTCCTTTTTAAAGACGCCTATTTGAGTATTAGTAGAAAGTTTTTCTTATGCCAACTTGAAGCCCTACTCTTTGCTCCTTCTACCTGTTGTGACTAAAAAGTGTAGCCTTGTGTAGTCTGGCAGGGTTGACTGTATAAGACAGGGGTGGGGAACCTGTGGCCTTCTAGGACCTTGGGTGTGGCCTTTTGGCTGAGTCCAAATTTTAGAACAAATCTGTTTAT